TCCCTGTGGATGCTGCAGCTGCTGCCACTGCTGCCCAGTGGATGAGCATGAGAAGTATTGCTACAATGTCCACATGCTCCCTAGCTCCCACTTCACACCAGACATGCTGGAAGTTACTGGTGTAGGCAAACTGACTCATACCTACTTGTACAGGGCATCCGTAGGCCTTGGGCCTGGTAATGGCAGCATCCCAAATGGTGATGCTGGGAACCATCCCAGTGGCTCCGGGTTACAAATGCCAGGACCTTGCATCCAAGTGCAACAGGTCCAAAGTAATCGCTTGAGTGCTGTTCTTGTGGTAAGTACCTATTGCTTTTTTGATCCCTGGCATATGACTCCATGTTTGCACTGGGCTGATGTCAGTGTGGAGGAAAGTGCTCACACTTTTTTTGTATTCAGGACAACAGGGGTCATTTCATGGCACCTGGAAGAAATTTCAGGACTCTTGAATGTATTTTCCAAAGCCAGGAACTGACTCGGAAACTCTGGGTGTAGCATGATCATGGGTTGGCAAAATAAAATTTCTCTCATCAGCATTTAGCATAAAGAAAGTGTAAGTGAAAGTTAAATACCTTTTAAGTTCATCCATCCTAGTCAGAGAGCTAAGTAGGGGTGGCATATGAGTCTTCTCTAGTTTCTAATCTATGGAAAGCTTATACATATCGTATGGAGACCATGCTATTCTACTTCTTGAGATTCTTCCAATGAGGAGTTAGTAGTCTTCTAAGCCAAGATGTTGGTCTAAGTAGCCAGTCTAGGTCTTGTGGTGGAATAGCAGGAATTCAATATCCTGTATTGTACTGTATTAGAAAATATTACTTGCAGTTCTCATCTCTCTATCTCAAAACAACCTGCAGACTTCGTGAAACTAAAAGCAAAGTATATTCTGCTCCTCTGATCAAGCTGGTTTATTTTCAATAGTGTGATGGATGACTTTGCAGGAATAAACATCTCAGTGTGATCATAGCGTAGGGCTGCAAGATATGTGGGTAGCTCTGATCTGCTGGGTATCACTGGGTCATTTGTCCAAAACTCAGTTTTTCTATGTGCAAAATTAATGATACCTTTTAATAAGTGTAGTAAATCCTGTTTATATTTTTGTGAAGTTTTTGAATGCTTTGCGTGTGGGTTATTGAAGTTCCCAAATATGCATGCACGAAGGTAATTGTGTAGTTGGCAGTTATGTGCCTGAAGAATACCATTGTGAATATGAGCCAAAGGTATTGCTCAGGTAGTGCCATTCCTTTGACTTGACTTATATCTTAAGTTTTGCATTTCTATGAGCATGATCTTGAAACTCATGCCATTAGCATGTTATTAGATTAAATAATAACAAAAATTGAAGTTTATCCCTGATCTCTATAAATGGATCAACCAAAATGCATCCCATTGGATTTCACTGTATTTCACTCATTCAGATGACTTTTTTTTTTTTTTTTTTAAACTGCATGCATGAAACGTAGTACGCATTTTCAGAAGCATTTGAAAGTGGGGGGAAAAATGATGGATATCACCTTTGACAATTTTTTCTGCAGAGAACCCTATAAGCAGAGGTGGATAGACATTCCCATAGAAAGTCCAAAGGCTGTGTATTACATAAGCAAGAATAATGTGTGTACAGGGGAACACAGTCAGAGACTGTGAAGCTGTGTCTATCCTTAGAAACAAAGTGATGTCCGTTATTGTTAGTTTGGTGCTGTGATCACAAACATTAATTTACTGGAAAATCAACTATATATTCGTTATAACTTACAAGTTTCTAAAATATGCAGACCATTAAAAAGGTGCTTGTATTAAAATAATTGGAAAAGGACAGAGGCTGTAGTTTGTGTGCTTTCATCTCTATTTGTGCTTTAGATTTTCCAATACTTAAAATAAGGTAGAATCATGTTAAAGATATACTGGGGAATTGTTTCCTGTGATCTGAGTTTGGAAAGGAAACTATCACTCATTCTTAGAATGTATTCCTTAATGTAAATTCCTGTGGACTTAAATGTTATTTCTATGCAGAAAGATCAATGCTTTCATTGATGCTTTCATTAATTTTATATTAAAATAGTAGGATTTTTTTTTCAATATTTACCCATAGACACTTCACAAAAAAATAAAATATGTAAGTTTGGTTATAACCAAAATTTAGCCTTTAAGTGCTTTCACACTGATGCATTTGGTGTTTGAAATGTGAATGTGTATCACCCTCTGAACTTCTAATGGGGCTCATTGTATTGTTTCCTAAAAATATGTGTGTAACAGAATGAAAGTATCAAATATTTAAAAGACACTTGGAGCAGCTCTGTAATTACAATTTAAGCATAACTTTAATCCCTGCCTTTTTCAACATATTTAATATTAAAGTTTTTAGTACCCAGAAATTGTAAAAATTATTTTGATATAATAGGAGTTAATTGAAGTTCGAGAAAGGAAAAGTATTTTTTAAGATTCAGCTTGATTTCTTTATTACTGGTTTTCTTTTGCTACTGAATTAAAATATACACATACATTATTTTTAGTCATAAGAAAGTGAGACCCTTCTGTCCTTTCACGTTTTCTATTTAGGTTGCAGCCAAAAATAGAACTATGTATGGCCGTATTATCAATACTATCAATATCAATATATCTATCAAATACTATCAAAATATCAATAAACTGTAACTGTATATTTTTCAATGTCTTGCTGCATTTTTGTGTGATGTAGCATATGTGACAGCTGAGTGAAAAGCACTTTACGCTGCTCTGCTACTAGACTGTGTTGCAGACAGTAACATTAGCCATTGTGCCACATAAAAGGCTTGTAAGATATTTGCACATTCAGAGTGTAGTGACCTCTGTGTGCTTTTTATATGCAATATTTAGGTTACATCCAAAAATAGACACATACCTAGCAACAGAGAATATTTCTTGCTAAACTGCAATAGGAGTGGAATCATTTTATTCAATGTGGCATGCATGTCAAGACAAAAATTGATGCCCTTTCATTTTGACAGTGCCATGCAATCTAGGCTAAACTGCTGTAGGCAAAGCATCAATGGTTTACTTGCACAAGACCAAGCATCTGAATACAGTCTTTCTGTATCTGGCTCTGATGAGAATGTGCTTCATAACATTGCCAAGTGTATAATGGTAAAGCACCTTCACACCCTTTACAATCTGCATTGATAAGAACCTTTCCCAAGACTGTGGCCTCATGCCCAAACTGTAAGAATTCAGTTGGGTAAGCAAATTTTCTGGCTACCGAAGTTAATCTTGAACTCCTGCCAAGAAAATCCTAGAAAGAGCAAAAAGAAAAAGAAAAAAAAAAAAAAGAAAATCCTACACAGGAAAATTCTGTATATTTCCCTCTTTTTGACCGCTCCAATTACCTTTTGCAAAGAAGAGTCCCACTTCAGAGTTCATTGAGTGAACAGTGAGCTAGAAGGGCTTCAAATGCCTATGTTGAAACCTTGCGTGTCTGATGTCTGCTTCAGAGAACTATTTTTAGAGGTAGTGAAAGGGAAAGTGACAGAAGGAATAGCTTGAGACAAAAGGCTTGAGGGAATGTGTAAAGAAAATGCGACTGTGTATGGAGATGCATAAGGGCAAAGGGAAATTACGGTCAGGAAAGGCTAAAGTTTAGATGAGAAGCTGGGCTGAGGGGTGGGAAGAGAGAGACTGATAGGGCATTCAGACTGAGGTTTTGTTAAAAGCTGCGTGGGAGAAGCCCACAATAAGTGGATGTGCAAGTAGTAATTCATTTTGCAATAGACCATAGGACAAGAAAATGCTATTTGGATCCTCAAGTCTATGCTTTTTCTATATCAGACAACACTTGATCTTAAATCTTTAAATTTAAGTTGTTGAATTTTTAATCTTAAACACCTTTTAACTGTAAAATTCACTAACACTTTGATGCCTGCTGTTCCTGTTGGGAAGCTGTTCCTCTTAGATTTCGAAGAGTTCTTCTAATATCCTTTCCTCATCTAGCCTCCTTATTTGCTGCTTGTATTTATATTTTATGACCCTATCCAGTGCTTGTTTTCTTCATATAGTTTATAAAGCAACTACATTTTTTTTTAAAATCAGACTTTGATTAAGCTATACAAATCATTTTCTTTTAGTTTTTCTTTAAGATCATCTCTGCACTTGTCTAATCATGCTAATATCCCTTCCTTGTATCCATTCTTCCTTTGCAGAAATATATTTCTTATGAATATGTGACCAGAATTGTACATAGTATTTCAAAGTGCTTCGTACAAAGTGATATGAGTGCTTCCCTATATATGCTGGAAATACATCACCTAATATTTCATGGGATGGCAGTTACCTTCTCCAGACTTGTAACATATTGATTGCTCAGTCAAAGGTGATTGCAGAACTTTCTAGGGGGAACAGGGAAGACAGACACGTGGTTTCAAAGACATTGGTTCTTCTGCATGCCTTCAGTCCTCTGAATATTCTTTGGTTTGATGTTAGATATTAGAAAATTGCTGCCACCTGCTGAGAGCAAATCATCTGTCTACCTTAGACATAAAATAAATGGTCTCTTTTCATTGAGCTTCAAGACCATTTGCAGATAGTGCTCAGATTAGATGCCTAACTTCCAAAGTGTTAAGTTATATGAGCAACAAAGTCCTGCGGGACTTTCATGTTCGGGTTGTTAGTTGTCATCCATTTCTGTGACAGGGCTCAAGTTTTTCCTATAATGATGCCAACCAAATTGTGCCTTCAGCAAATGTGATTAGAATGGCCTGATTTCTTGTGCTATCATTAAGGTTTTAATGTAACACTTTTTTGAGTGTTTTATTTTTTCCTGTCTGATTCTTGTACTCCAGACTCAACAGTTTTATTGAAAAACAAAACCAAACCTCATTCCCATGATTTCATTTGCCAGTTCCTTTTGAAATTTCAGATGGAGATCAGGTAGCGGGAATTTCAGGATGCTGAGGTCTCAGAATTTTACTTCTGCCTTTGTGGTAGCAGTTT